TACAACATTTAAAGAAGCACTGTATAAATTACTAGTTCCTATTTTTATGTTTTAAATGTTGCCACAATGTAGATAATGTTGATGACAGAAATGTTTTAAAATCATCTCCTAAAATTTGAGCCAAAGACAAAAGACACATTATTCTTACTGAGGACTGGCAAGCATTACTTATCATATTTTTATGCATTGGCTGACGTAGGCACTAAAAAGCCATAAGCTCCTACTGTGCGCTGCAATGAGATCTTTCCTACCTGAACTCTTGTTGATGCCACCAAAGGTCTCCATCTTTCTCCTCTTTGCCAAGAAAACTCCTAAGTAAATTCTACGTCTGGGTCTTCTTTTTCTAGCTAGCTGCAGGTCAGAAAATAATCTATATTACACGTGAGTGTTGAAGGCTAATTGTTAGTCCTAGGTTGCGTGTATATGCTTGAAAAGAATCTTCTAATTCATTTACTCTAAACATCTGTATGGAACAAACAGAAAAGATTCTTAGTCTCATAGAATTTATATTATGGAAACTGTGTAAAGGTAAGTTCAAGAATGGAGATATTTCATATGTTTTAGCAAACGGTGAGGAAGAAATTAAGAACAGAAAAGCTAGTAACCGAACAAAGGTCTTGGGAAAATCTTACAAAGAAAGATTTGTGTGACTAGGATTACAGTTAATGGGATAAAATATTGGATTTGAGTTTTATTTATTATAACTACATCTTCACAGAAACAGTATAATAAATTGACACTTTGCAATAGCTGCCAAGTCTCTGCTGGCCCCACCCCTAATTTTGATTGTAAACGTGGAGGTACTTGCTTCCAGGGCTATTGTTTATAGGGTTCCTCAAGACCATTCTTAGTTTTAGTGATTTTCTAAAAGGATTACTCAAGCTCAGAAAAAATGGTTATGTTCAAAGTTATACTTTCTTACAATAAACTAATGCAACGATGGAATTGAGAATCATTTATAATTTCCAGTCATTCTCTCCCAGCAGAGTTCCCAAGTACTGGGCCAAAATTGGCTGCCTCTCATTGTACTGGCTTGATTGAAAACACAGCAGCCAGGACTTGATCAGGTACTACATCCCAAGATAAAACATAACTTTCTGGATCACAAAGACTCCTGTTAACTACTTTTTAAAAATCTCACTTAAAAATTATTTATTTACTTGAAAGACAGAGCAATAGAGATGGAGAGAGAGAATCTTTTATTTGTTGGCTCACTTTCCAAAAGGCAACAAAAGGCAGGAGCCAGGAATTCCATTCAGATTTCCCACATGAGTATCGTGTCAGGGCTCTAAATAAATTGAACTATGATCCACTGCCTTTCCAGGAACATAAACAGGAAACAGAATTTTAAGTGGAACTCAGACTTCAACTGGCATTCCGCTTAGGGATGCCAGGGTGGCCAGTTGTACACAGACTGTGCCAAATGCCAGTCTTATTGTCTAGTTTTACATCAAAATTATATAAGGGAATGAAATTACAGAAGAGTTCTTACTTCATAGATGTGTGTGTGTGTGTGTGTGTATCTGAAATTCTCAATCATGAATTGGCCAACACATTAACATTGCCAAAACAAAAAAATTTTACTTACACTTTTATGTGTAGTCTTTCATTACCATCACCACTTATGAAAAATAGAAACTCAACAATTTTCAACATGGTAGTTCAGTGCCTATTACAGTCATTTTGAAAAATAGCAGTCAAACAAAAACATCCCATGGTATTCTTGCAGATTTTGGCAATGCACAGGCATGAAAATTTTGTTTTTATTTTTTTCTTTATTTTATGACAAAGTTCAATCTTTTTTTTTTTTTATTGCTGACAGTGTTCAATGATTTAGGTGTCTAATTGACCTTTCATTCCAGTGAATGATACCTATGGGTAGCGCTCAGTCTGACTATGATGAATGATGCTGAATCATGCAAATGTTCTTGTAAAAATACAGATTTTTATTTCTATGGAGTAAAGGTCCCAGGAATAAAACTGCCAGTCATTTAATAGTTGTTTTTTTTTTTTCTCTTTATTGTTGCTGCTGTCTTAAGAAAAAGTTGATCATTTTTAGTTCATCTTCACCAACATTTAACACGGTCCTTGTTATTAATTTTAGTCATTTTGATTGGTAAAAAATTGGCACAAAGTATCACTTTGCTTTTAGTTTCTATGTTCCTTAATGCTAATATGGCTGAACATTTTTCATGTGCTTATTTATCATCCGCACATATAATCTCTTTAGTAGCTAGGTATTTTTTCCATTTTTAAATTAGTTATTATATTGCTTGGAGTGCACATGACATATTCTACAGACTAATTATATATTAGATATATGCTTTGCAATTACTTCCTTTAAGTCTGCATGAAGTTTTTAGGCTCCAATGGACGTTATTAAGGTTAAGTGAGGTGGGAAGAGAGTGGGGCCTGATGCAAAACCTTCAGTGTCTTTGCTAGAAAAGATACCAGGGAGGCCTGCTTTCTTCCCATCACAGGGACAAGCTGATTGGTAGAAAAGAGCTTTGACGTCCACAGTCCTGGCCATGCTAGTTTACCTCATCTCAGACTTCCACCACCAAAATGATGAGAAAATACATTTCTGTTGGTGAAACCAAACAAACAGTGATATAACGGCGGCAGCCCAAACTAACACACAATCCCAAATCACACCATGACATCCCTCTGAGCAGAATCCTCCAGCGACTCTTCCTGCTCTCACAGTCATAGGAAGAGCTCTCACAACGTTGGAAAATGCCTCCAGCCCTTTCAATCTGACTCCTTCTTTTCAGCCCCTTTACCTACCACCTATCCATCATTTCCTCCCACCACACCTTCCTGATGCCTGAAACCACCAGACAACATCTGAGGGAGTGACACACAACAGCTGCTTCTTCTGGTACAACTCCTTCCCAACACCAGCACAGGCTACCAGTTCTCCCCAGTCCCTACTGGTCTGCCATCTTATCCAGGAGTATCCCTCTGACTGCAAACCTGAGACGGCCAACAACTTCCTCCTCCCCCTGGCCACCACCATACGTGGTCTGTACTTTCCCTGCTCCTACTTTATTTTGCATAGACTTACTGCCTTAAAACAAATCATACTACTTATTATCGTATTTTACGATCTATCTCCCTGCTGCAGCATAAGCTTTTCTTTATTTGGCTTAGTATCCTAAAAACTTAGATCACATGCAAAAAACACAGACACTGAGTAAAACTGACTGAGAGGTATGCAAACTGGGTTTGCAGTGCCAGTGTCGCCCCTCCACGCTCTGTAACTGCGGCCTCAGGTCTGTTTCCCTGGGTGTAATCTAAAAGCTCTGGAGCTTAGAAATAAACTTGCATGATCCCCACGTGGCCGGCAGTCTGCTGATCTTACCCCACTTTCTTCCAGATCTGCCTGCTCTTTCAGTCACCATTCTCTTTTCCCCTCAGCCTCCCTCCTAAGTTCTTCGCAGTGTTGATACACTTAAATCATTTTCACTCACCAAAAAAGGACAAAAGCATTTTCTGGCAGAATTACATCTTCTGGTGTCAGCTGATTTCTTCTGATCCCTCATTCTGATACCTATGTGGGGACAGTAGGAGAGTTTCTAAAATTATTTACCTAGGTTTCTAGGATACATTGGCTAACACCTTACTATGCTGTTACGCGTACTATGCTGTTACCCATCGGCATTACTTCACTTTAGATAACACCAAGCACCTCACTTTTACCCTTAAATATGGGACACAGGTTTGTGTTACTAATGTTGAGAGGATAGCTGATTCTGCTAGCAACTGTTTAAGCAAACCTTTTTTTTTTTCTATGTATTTAGTTTTATTTATTTGAAAGAATGAAAGACACAAAGATCCTCTATTCATTGGGTCAATTCCCAAATGCCCTCATAAAGCCAGAGCTGGCCCAGGTCGTGGAACACCACATCTTCCCACATGGAAGGGCTGCAGGCTCCATCCCAGGGGGAGCTTTAGCAGGAAGCTGGGGAAGAAGCTGAGCAGGGCCCAGAACGCAGCACTGCGACTCCGGTTATGAATCTTAATACCCACTTCTTAAGTATTTATTTTAAACATCAATTTAACAGATCAAGTAACTTCATCAACTGTGATGCCTCTTTTCAGTTCAAGGTCTATACAATGATAACCTCCTTTTAGCAAAGAGATCAGATTTTTCAAAAGCCCTAAAGAGTTAGCGAAACAAATCCAAATCAATATTATTGAGTTTTATTACAGCAGAAGACGGAATCAAAACATCAGATTCCCAAAAATGAGCTCAGATTTTGAATGATTTGGCGACTTAAAAACAACAACAGGTATTTAGCTCATGTGGAAGCAGTGAATGGCTGCTGAAATTAAAAACTTCAGGAATTCTTAACGTGTTCACGGATTACTAGCAATCAATTCATGCTTAAATAATAATGGGTTTTAATACAAGGCAAAAATTGAGACCTCATTCTTTAGCTGTTAAAAAAAAAAAAAGCCTTTCCTATTTTCCCCGATTCAATCTTAGTAAAAACATACTCCTTTTAAAAACATAAAATATATCATGAATTCGCAGATAAGCACAGGTAAATGCTGACACTATTTCCTCCTGAATCTGCAGTGGTCACTCCACAGCTTACTGTATTTGCAAAAACAATTCCTCTCTAGGACAAGTAAAACACAAAAGGAGCGTGACATATACGAACAAAACCACTAACTTCAGCCACGGGCTTGGGGTTTCCGTGCTGACACGCATGCAGCCGGCGCCCCCCAAGCTACCCGGGTGGCAGTATCTCCTCTCCAAGTTTGTTTTGCTCACAGACTCAGCCGCGGAAAACCCAGCTCCTGCTCAAATCCGCGACCAACTTCGCACACGCCACCTCATTGGCTGAGACGCGAGCGACGGAACGCGTCCCACAGCCAGTAGGAATCGGCGTTCCCGAGGCTGACTCAGACGCCGCTTCCTGATTGGTCCCTACGGCAAGCGTGCAGGGCCAAGTGCTGACGTCGACGTCCGGGTCGAGGACCCCAGAGGAAGATGGCGGCGTCCAGGTGCTGGAGGCTGGTGTCCCATGGTCGGGGGCAGCCGCTGCACACCGCAGCTGCGGCGGCTCTGCAGACGCCCGGGTCCGAAGTGGCGCGGTACCCGCCGATCGTGGCTTCCCTGACGGCCGACAGCAAGGCGGCCCGGCAGCGGCGGGTGGAGCGCTGGCAAGCCACAGCGCACGCAGCCGCGACCGTGGACGAGAGGCTGCGCATCCTTACCAAGATGCAGTTCATGAAGTACGTGGTGTACCCGCAAACCTTCGCCCTGAACGCTGACCGCTGGTACCAGGGCTTCACCAAGACCGTGTTCCTGTCGGGGCTGCCGCCGCCGCCCGCCGCGCCCGAGCCTGCGCCCGCGCTGGACGTGGCCGCCCTGCGCTCCGCGGCTCGCCATTGCCTGCTGCAGGAGCGCGTCCACCTGCCACGCCGGCCGCGGGCCCCGCGCGTCCAGCAGCACGAAGCCCTGGCCTCGGCCCGCCTGCACCAGCTGGTGTCCACCCTCACGGGCCTGCTCAGCCCGCACAACCCGACCCTGGCCTCCGGCGCCCTCGGTGAGCCTCGGGCCCCTCTGGCCGCCTGTTTGCACACTCTTCAAGTAGTATTTCACTTTTGGTTGGTTGTTTTCTAATCCCTCCGTTCCGGCTTGGGGTAAGGCCTGATTTTCTGGTCACGGACCTGCCCTGTCCAGCCACCATGAAGAAGCGTAGGGGTTGTTGGGACAGTGGGATTTGGTCTTCCCACCCTGATGCTGCGTGACCATAGTTTAACATTTCTCGTTTTCAAGACGAAAATGACTACAGTAATACCTGCTCATGCAATTATGAGGTGTTAACCAAATATCGAACACGGCCTTAGTTTTCATTCTGTGCCAGGTGTTCTGGATTTTTGTGTCAGTGAAGGAATTCGCACCAAAAGAAAAGCCTGAAGAAGCGAAATGGTGAAACGTGTCTGGCCTAAAGCCCCGTAGGTAGATTCTGGGTAAGGATTTAAATTGAACCCATCTGAAGTCCCCCAGTAAGCAGTCGACCAAGTATATTAATTGTTCCGTACAGACATTTAAAAACCAACAGCTGGCACTTTAAAAAACTGTTCTGCAGCGAGTATTTTGACGTGGAAGTAGTAACTAGACCTCTGCTCACCTGAGCTGGGAGTGAGTGTGGTACTTTCTCAGATGCAGAGGAACTGTTCAGGAGTGGGGCAGAGAATATGTGTTTTACTTTGTTAAGACCCCGGTCCCTGTAAAGTGGGGCTGATGATAACCATTAGCTGCCTTTCACAGTGTGAAAATTGAACGAACAATTCCTAGGACAGCTCTGATTTCTTTAAACTTCTTGTTTCTGATGAATGGCATTCCTACAAGGGTTTTTGTTTGTTTGTTTTGCATTTTATTAACTGAGACATCTCCCTGGCTCTAGTATTCACCCTGATGATGGCATCTTATTTATGATTAACTTATGAACTGTGTTTGTTATGTGTGTTTAGGTCATCATTGTTGAAATTAAGTAACTGCGTAACCCTGACCCCTATCTAACTAGCATCCCAGTGGGTTTTAGCATGTTTTTGATTAGATGCAATCATTCTTGTTGAGCCCTGAATTAAGGTTCCTCTTCATTCAGATAACCTAGTTTATTGAAATGATCTAATGAGAACATTTTGACTTTCTTTCGTTAGATTCTAAACGCCCTGTTAACTTTTATTGGTTGCGAGATGAAGAAATTATTTCCAAAGGTCATCGAAAAGGTCATGTGGATGCATTGCGATACCAAATAAATGATACGCCACACAACCAGATTCGAATAACTAAGCAACTTCCAGAGGTAAGGATTTGTTGTAACTGTGCCTGTTGCTTGGCAAAGTAGAAAAAGTCACAGCCAACCTAGGTCACACTCTCAGTTAAAATGTTTCTCTTCTTTAAATTTTCTTTGACTGCATCTCAGCTGAAAATCTTTTTCATTTTTCAGGGAATATTCTGCAAGGACCAAATCATTGTCCTGAAGTTAAGATATCAGTTTTCAGGGCCATATAATTTTTTCTTTGTGTTGTTATAAAAACAGTAATTCTTTAATGTTTTTTTAATAGGACGTAGACTGTGTTAACTATGTGTAAATAAAAAGGATCTTTACAATTCAGAATTCCGTCATGTTACTTGTTGCTGTTCTGTCGGAAAATTGTCCATGTATCTGGATGACGGGTGAACGCTCTTTGTGTAAAAGTAAATATTTTAAGTGGTGCCAGCCATGTAAGTCTATGTGGAAACTGTTCTGCTGCAGTCTTATATTATAGAAGCAATCATATACAATATGTAAAAGGCTGTGTTCCAGTAAAACTTTGTAAAAACAAGTGGCAGGCCAAGTTTGGCTTTCATCGGGCTGGGTGATAGCATTATCAAATCAAACCACCTTAAGATTTTAAATCTGGTAACAATGTGAGTGAATTACAGAGATACCAATATTCCTGCGAATTCACTCTTTTCTGTTTCTTTAAGTTTGTGCCGTTGGACTATTCTGTTCCTGTGGAAATCCCTGTGATGAACTGTAAACCCGACAAACTTCCCTTATTCAAACGACAATATGAAAACAGCATATTTATTGGTAAGTTTTTTTGGCCATGTATTGTGTCAGAAATGTGTTGAAAGTATTGTTCAGATTTAGAGAATAAACTCTAATTAAGCAGATTTGGAGCACCCAATTATTATAAAAACTCAGGTTTTCTTTAATGATTCACAGAAAAATTTTTATTGATAAGCATCTAGGGTGATTTTGGCTATTATGACCAGATAAATAAAGTTTGTGAGATATATATATATATACTATAATATATATATAATGCAATAATAATCAGCCATAAAAAGAATGAAACCCTGTCTTTTGCAACAAAGTGGATTCAAGTGAAAACCATTATGCTTAATTAAATAACCAATATGAAGAAGACAAATATGTTTTCTCTGATATGTGGCAGTTAAAACACACAAAAAAGTGGAGGAATGAAATGGCAACATTGGGATAGGATTGTTGAAAAACTCAGTTCTCTGTAACTGCGAGTGGTATAGATGGTCCCTGAGAAACGTACTTCATAATTTCAAGGTATTGCAAAGTACATGAAAACTGGAAAGAAAAGATTCTTTCAGCTTACCATTGACATTTTACTTGCTTCTACTGAATTAGGAGTATTTAACTGAAAGAAATACGGGGCTTTGTTGATTTTTTTTTACATATATATTTATACAGAAAAATAATATATATTTTTGTTTACATTTTTACATATATGTGTATATATATATATATATATATATATATATATATATATATACAGAAAAATAATCTCAGTTTTTTTCAAAGTAAAAATGTTTGGAACCATGCCAGAGATGTAATGGCATTTTTACTGAAACCTTGAAGGATTCAGCATTATTAAGAGCTGATATGTGCCCTCATAGAGCTGATTGAGAACTCTGCAAGTTGCGTTTAGGTTTTCCAGAACTGCTTTGTATCAGCCCCTTTCGGTTGTTTATCGCAGGGAGTGACCCGTGAAGACCTTCCTGTTGAAAAGACCTTAGCACTAAAATCAAGAGTATCCACACTTTATGAAACATCAACCCTTATTTTCTTCACTTAGAAATGCAAGATAAAAATCATTTTTAAAAAAAGAGAAGACAGGATTGTGTAATATTACATTAAACAATAAAGGGATTTGAAAATGATGAAGTTACTATGTCTTGAATATAAAAAGGGCAGTAAGAAAGCTCCTAATAACTAAAGTGTGCAAAAAAAAAAAGGCGAAAGATTTAAGTTACTTTTATATCAATTCTTTGTATGATAGTGGCCTTTGTAATGAATAACAGAAAAATGGTGCTATCCGTTTTAGCTTAATCAAGATTTTTCCATTTATGTGTTTTAAAGTACATAACACATGATGTGTATTTTTAAAAATGGGTTTGAACCAGTACTAAAACATGATCAACATTTTTATTTTGCTCTGTAGGCACAAGAACAGCAGATCCGTGCTGTTATGGCCACACCCAGTTTCATCTATTACCCGACAAATTAAACAGAGAAAGGCTTGTGAAGCGCAACTGTGCTGATCAGATAGAAGCTGTTTTTAGAGCCAATGCTATAGCAAGTCTTTTTGCTTGGACTGGGGCACAGGCTATGTATCAAGGTAAGGCTAATCTTATCGTTTTGTACGTTAGAGGTATTTATGTCATTTTAAGAATTTAATATTTAACCTTGTTTTCTCTGGGTTAAAACATAGGATCAATCTTAACAACGCTGAGAAAGCTGTTGTGTTGGCAAAACATGCTTGTTCTAAATCCATAATGAAGCATCTTACCTTTGAAATTTGTTAGTGCCTCTTGAGCAAACTTTCGAATTTTGTTTTTAATTTTGCTTCGACCAAATCATGTGGGAAAATATGTTTTTCTGGTGGTTTTTGCAAGCGTACCAGGTACTAAAGTCAACTAAATCATCTTTTTGCAGGTGATAACAGCATTTTTTAAAAAAGATTTATTTATTTTTATTGGAAAGGCAGATATACAAAGAGGAGGAGAGACAGGGAGGATGATGTTCCATCCAGTGATTCACTCCCCATGTGGCTGCAGCAGCTGGAGCTGAGCCATCCGGAAGCTGGGAGCCTCTTCCTGGTCTTCCATGTGGGTGCAGGGTCCCAAGTTGTTGGGCCGTCCTCTGCTGCTTTCCTAGGCCACGAGCAGGGAGCTGGATGGGAAGCGGGGCCCATATGGGATCCCAGCATGTTTAAGGCTAGAACTTTAGCCACTAGGCTACCATGCTGGGCCCTGTAGCAGCATTTGGATGGTAGAAAAGAAAATGATTTGGTGGTTTACATTTTTAGGTTAAGTCATGATTGTCCTATATAAAACACAGTGTTTAGGATTTAGATTAGGAGATGATCATTTGGTGAGTAATGAATGGTTTCTTTTTACCAAGCTTACACTGAGTCTTTGGAGGTCAGTAGTGAGTAAGACAAAGATTATTGTGGAATTTCTATTACAGTAAGGGAATAAAAGATTAAATATGTGATATTTCCAGCTGATGATAATACACTAGAGGAAATACGCTAAATAGTAAAATGACTTATGATGATAAGTACAAATTAGGTATTTGTTGGAGTTTATTTAACTCATTTACCTCATTCAGGTGAGGTATGTAAAAATATTTGAACAGAGATCTGAATGGTAAGGAATTATCTACACAAATATGAGACAAGACACTTGCAGGCAAACATGGAAGTCTCAGTTGGAAACGTTTCTAGGTGTTTAACAAATAACATGCAGGCTGATGAAGAAAGGGTGGTGAGTGATGGATTTTAGATACCATTGTGAGATACTTGAATTTTATCCCAAAATCTAAAGTAATGTAATACGAATTTGATTAATCCTATATAAATATCCAGGTGAATTTTAATACATTGAATTGTTCATCAGTTCACCTTTTTCCTGTATATATAAGATTTCTTTATTTTACTTGAAAATCAGAGTGTAGAAGGAGAGAGGAAGAATTATAAATCTACCATGCACTGGTTCACTCCCCAGTAGCTGCAAAGGCCAGAACTGAGCCAATCCAGTGCTGGAAGTCAGGAGCTTCTTCTGGGTCTCCCATGTGAGAGCGGGGCCCCCAAGCTGTTCTCTGCAACTTGTGTAGGCCATTAGCAGGGAGCTGGGTCAGAAGTAGAGTAGCTGAGACTAGAACTGGTGGCCATGTGGGATGCTGCACAATGGATTGAGATGAGCACCAGCCCCTATGTGTGTATTTCTGAAATGCCCAGCAAATCTTTGTTGGAAATGGAGAAGTGGGAATCATAGTCAGAATCAAAAAAAAAAAGTGAGAAATAAATTTATGCTGTGCATAGGACACCATTCATTCCTACAAATAAAATACCGCTTAACAGAGTTTACTTGTTACTTCCGTTCAGGATATTATAAAATATGCACGGAAAAATTGTTGTTACTTGGTCTAGGCAGTTTGGTTTTAAAGTATAGAAGGCCTGTCATCCTGAAGCAAAAAGCAAGCAGAACATTTGAATAGTAGAGATGTTAAAAGCATCTCAGATCTTTATTACCTAAGACATGTGGGACAAAGTGAACACTTAGAAAACAAGTTCTGCAATATGAAGCAGAAAATTGAATTATCGGAAGACATTGTCAGAATCGCAATGCAGACAGAAAGGTGTGTTTTCTCAGATGTGGTGAAGAAAAGAGCCAGAATGGTGCCTGGGTGGTTGTTGATACGGGAAGATCTGCAGTGTGTTTGAAGTCATCGAATAATACTATAGTTAGTCCCGCAAGAGAAGGTGGGTCTGTAAGACGGAATTTACCACCATTTTTAAATGTAATGAAGTTGAAAGCTATTGAAGGTAGAAATTGTTGAAAAGGTTGAGTGATGAATTTCAGTATGGTAGCAAGCAGATATTCTTGGTGTAGGATTGCAGTAGAAGGATAGAATGGAGAAAGAGGAAATGCGAGATCTTCAGGAACTGGCTGGGTAAAGTGCCTGGCTTGTAGGAGGTATTTATAACCTTCTAATGTGTTTGTGCTGTTTTGGTGTAAGAATGGTGGCAATCATCACCTAACTTTCTTCCACAGGCTTCTGGAGTGAAGCGGATGTTACTCGACCTTTTGTCTCCCAGGGCGTGATCACAGATGGCAAATATTTTTCCTTTTTCTGCTACCAGTTAAATACTTTGGCACTGACTGCACAAGCTGATCAAAATAACCCTCGTAAAAATATATGCTGGGGAACACAAAGTAAGCCTCTCTATGAAGCCATTGAGGACGGAGATGTGAAGGGTTTTAATGATGAAGTTTTGCTTCAGATAGTTCACTTTCTGTTGAATAGACCGAAAGAAGACAAATCACAACAACTGGAAAATTAAACGACATTTGACTCAGGACTGTGGGGATTTTTAATTCTACTCGAGGGACAATAAAAGGAATTTTAATGTTGCTACTTGCAGTTGTTGTGTATCAATGCTTTTGTTTTGGACAGATATTTCCTATCTTAAGCTGTGATCAGACCTCTCATTCCATTCAATTAAGTAACATAATTGTCTTCTTAAGTAAAATTTCGTGTCTTACGAACAATAGATTTTTACAAATTGTAATAGGACGTTTGCATTTGTGCAAAAATTATCTGTTAGGCTGCAGAGTGTGGAAATTTTCCCAGCACAAGAATTGTATAAACCATGAAGTTCATTCGTATACAGCAAACCCTCAGATTAATATTGTTTGCAAGCAGAACTACCTAATCGTTTCTAAGTAAAAGTGATTCTTGTAACTTATTTAATTGCTGTTAGTTTACCTCAGCAGAATATTTAGTTTATAACCACACACCTCCTGAGTTGTGGGGCAGTCTGCAAATGAGGACAGGCAGGCCTTTGATGCAGCAGCTAAGCCACGGCTTCAGCTGGCCACCTGCATCTCACGACAGAGGATCTGGGCTTGAATCTCAGCTCCTCTCTGGGGTCCAGGTTCCTACTGATGATTACCCTGCGAAACAGTCAGTGAGAGCTCAAGTAGGCTGATGAAGACTCCTGTTGATTTCCCAGCTCCTGGACTTAGGATGGCCCAGCAGCTACCATGTATAGTTGGGGAGTAAACGTGCAGATGTGAATTAAGTTTTTTTTTTTTTTAAGTAAAAATGGATTATTATACTTGCCTTTAAAAAATTCATTTGGCTAGAATTTACATATTTTGATTTTTTAACTTGTATATTTGTAGTAGTTAATGGAATTGGTTTATTTAACCAGGAAAGCACTCATGAATGTATAAGTAAGACTGATCATGCGAAAATGGAAACTGCATGTGAAAGTAAATAAACACCAGGTATTTTAACTAGAATTATCCTTGGAATACAGGAGGACGCTGCCGCAGATATCCACTGAATAAACATGATGTGTCTGCCTTCTGCAGTGCCCTAATTTGGGGAAGAAACATAATAAAATACATGGGGTGGATTCTAAAGGAAAAAAAAATTCACAATTTTAAAGTGATAAAACATGATGTTTAAAGAAATTTTCATTCATCTTGAAACTGGAAGATCTTTATGTCTTTTGCTGTTTGTGGTCTGAGATATGTGGTCTGTTTAGTGGCCATTCATAATGTTTTGTGTTTCTAGGAAGTAAGAAAACAAAATCAGCACCTCTTCAAAGAGATTAAGAAAAAAAATGCCCAAGAAAAATGTGCAGTAAAAGATAAATGTGTTTTAAGACAGTGAATTGGGAAAGCTGAAACAATCAGCAGTTAGAGCAGTAACCCGTGTTTACCCCACCCCTCTCGCATCAGCAAGATGATCGGAGAAATTTTATCAAAAGGAAAGAGAATATCTTCAGAACTGGTGAAGTGATAGAACTAAACACAAAAGAGGCTCTAGATGTTTAAAAAATGCAAAGAAACTAGTTATTTTGGGCATGAAAATTATGTAAAGAGGGAAAATTTGGGCCAGTTTCATTACAAATTGAGAATATTTCAACAAAACCTCCCAAGAGAAACCCAGAACAATTAGTTTGTCCAGAAAAGCTTTAAAATTTCCCTGAAAGATACTAACGTTTGGAAAGGGACTCAACTGTATGAACTTAACACCAATTTTAAAAATAGCTAAATCCATATTTCAATATAAATACAGAAGTTGCATGTAAAATACTAGCATGAATTTAGAAGTAATTGAAAAGGCCACTAAGAGCAGAATAAATTAGTAGGTAACATAATAGAAAACATCAGTTTTTCGAAGGAGAAAAACAGGCTTTTGATAAGATTCTTAGTCTTCATTTAAAAAGGAAAGTAAAATGGCTAAGTCCGAATAGGATACTTTAATGAAAGTGCATTAGTAATATCCATCTGTTCTCCAATGATAAAACATGATGCGTCTACTGAGTATCTGATCTGGCAGCCAGCATTTTTTCCGTTTTTGTTTTTTTAAAGATTGATTTATTTGAAAGGCATGGTTGACAGAATCACCTGCTGGTACACTCCCCAAGTGGATACAAGATCTGCTCCTGGCAAGTACAGACCCAAACCAGGAGCCTTTAATTCCATCTGGGGCCTTTCTGTTAGAGCAGCAGACTGCTGCCTTCACAGGCACATGGAAACAGGGCTGGACCAGACGCAGCAGGGTCTCGGGGTGCTGGCGTTGCAAGCTGCAGAGTTAGACATGCTGTGCCACAAAGGCAGCCCAGAAGCAGTCAGCTTGGACTTTGTGTTTTGTTAGTAGATCCTTCCCTAAGGTCTAAAGTCACAAACGGCGACACTCAGCTGTTGAGTGGATGTGCATTAATGCATTCAAGGAAGTAGATATTTCTCTTTTATAGCTCAGTTCTCTTGATAAAGCACATGTTCACTTCTGCATAGATTTTCATGTAATTGTACATTTTTTCCCAAATCTTTTTACAGCTTTTAAAAAGGGTTTTATATAGTTCATGTTGATTGCTTATATATTCATCTTATAAATGGCGAAGTTAGCTGATCGAATCCAAGTTTTTTTTTTTTTCAGTTAATTCATATGAAACAGCTTCTCAACCTAAATAACCCTGATTTCCATGTAGCAAAATCCATCTGATGATTTTCTGTCCTTACTTTACCCAGGGAGTCCTATCACATTTAGCATGGTTGACGACTCCTGCTTTTTGAGTTTATCTGAAAGACAGGAAGTAAGGGATTCCCATCCTCTGGAAGCAAGGAGCCAGCAATGCCGTCCTGTTCTCCCACGAGTACCAACGACCTACGTACCTGAGCATCCTGTTGTGCTTCCCAGGGCACAGCATGAACAAGTGGAACCCAAAGCAGTAACTGGAACTCTGACAGGGGATGCTGGTGTCCCCGAAGGCAGCTTAGCCAGCTGACCACACTGGCCCTCACCTCTGCATTTCTACAGCAGTGTCATTCTTTGCCTTCACTGAAACATACTCTTGGGTTTTCTTACCATTCTTCCACATTCCCCTTTCCTGTTCTTCCTCTAACTGTTCTACAAATGTTGTATGTTTGTGGTCTGTTTTTCTTTCCCCATACTCGTCAATGACATTGTCAGGTTCTGTGGACTTAAATAGCTCTGTAAGCACATACAAAATTGGGAGTCTGATTTTAATCATGTTTCATTTCTGAATTATACACATCAGGTGTGTAACAAAACAGGTCTGGGTGATTAAGAATCTGAAGAATTTTTTTGCCCTAGCTTTGCAATGCTCTGGGTTTACTAGAAGATACATATTTTTAACTTAAACTATTTCTTGAATGAATTCCTAAGGGGAGTCAACTTCATTATGTAATTGCATTTGAAAAATCCTTTCATCATAGTGTTTGTTATTTAAGAAAATTTTATGTATGAAAGTTCATCGAAGTTGCATGTCCCTTGTACTTAATATAATCTCATAGGTGGTACCTGGAAACTGAAAAAAGTTATGACACAAAAGCCTTAGATGCTTTTCCAAACTTATTTTATTAAACTTGAACTAAGATCTGAATATTTGTGTCCCCTGAAAATTCATCTGTTTAAACCCCACTCCTACTGGAAATCAGGGCTTTTGGAATACGGGACCTTTTGAGAAGTACTTTAGAGGGCCCTGCACTCAGCAGCAGAGTTAGTGCCCTCAAAAGTAGTCCACAGGAGCTCACTCAATTCTGTAAAATGAGAACATGGAAAGGAGGCACCTTGTATGAACCAGAGCAGGTACTCATCAGACCCTGGGTATGCTGGTCTTGATCTCAAGCTTCCCAGCTCTCAGAATCAGGAGGAAAAAATTTCTGTTGTGAACTACTTGGTATATGCTGTTTTGTTACTACAGTTCACAAGACAACCACAAAGAGTTATAGCACTATTCCTATTTCATTTTATTATTAAATTCTAGCCTATGTTGCATGACATTTGACTTGAAAAAAATACTAACTTATATAAATATACTACATCCATTAATTTGTAAAGTATTTACAGCTATATAGATTGATAAAAATTACTATTGGTTAGAAGCAGGAGGAAGGAAAAAGGAAATTACAAGGCAAATGAGAAAAAAAATAGCTACAGAAAATAATATGGGTATAAATAGGCCTGCTGGTTCACAGTACAACGTGGGACAGTACTAGCTGGGCAGATTGAATTTCTTAACCTGCAAGTTCTTTGTTGTCCTGTTAGTTAAGGGGATTTTGTAAAACAAACAGTAACAATAAAGTAAAAAGGAAGAAAAACATTTCACAGTCTATAGGTAATAATAGTTCCAATGTATAGATGCAATTGACAATAAACACATGGAAGACTGACATTCTCTAAGTTTCTACCCTTTATGTATGTGATTATAAAACTTTTGACTACTCAACATTAGCCCGTTTAGTGTAAATACTGAATTTATCCTACATTTGCTTCTTTGTCATAGTACAAAATTGCACATTCACTGTGTAAAATTTTTGTAAACGGCGCTTGACACTTGAAATTGGCTTTCAAAACTTCTGTAACAGTGTGTACAGAAATCTGAAATTTAGTGTGTAGGTTGTGTTTTCGCTCTGCATTTTTAAAGAAAGTTATAGTCATAAGATGATTTATTTTTATAGTTATATAATACTACTTCCTTTGGATTTAAAATGCAGGTAGTATTTTCTAGAAAGGTCAAATTGAGGGAAAGCCATGTAAATTGATAAATGCAAAAAGGGTCTCATTTGATTTTTTAACCTTTCTTATTTTTGGACAAAATAAATGATGTTTTATATCATTTGCTGGTGGTGTAGACTTAACCAGCAAGAACTCATGCATCAGCCAGTTTAGAACTGAAGACAGAAAAAAAATTCTAATATGTGTAAGTAATTATAGCCTTGATGCTTTAATATTTTAGCTGAAACATAAACTCAGAGTCTTTTCAGAAGTAATGTGCATGGATATACAGAAATTCAGAAATGTAGCATTTTTAAAGAAAAATGTATTTCTTTGTTTGGAAGAGTGAAAAGCAGAAGGTATAGCTGAGAGAGAATGAA